CATGGTTCTCTTACGTGCTAGCCAACCTTGTTGTTTTGGACAATCCGAAGGACTAGATTCTGCCCTACACCACTGATAAGGGTAAATAAACCATGCCAAAAAATCCAGAGGAACTTTCTTTTCCAACACTGGTAAAGTAGCGGGGGGGGGGGGGGGAACCCCTCGGTAAGTGAGTCATTTCCTTACTCTCTGGGTCACTGTGGCTCTCACAAGCATTAAATCCTAAGTTTCAAACCAAAAGAGCACCATATTGAACCTTACGCCAGGAAAGCGATAAAAGTGTTCTGTATGTCTGTTTTGGCAATAAAACAGATATCAAATACACAGGAAGTACATTTCTACCTCAGGAGATTATATGATTAGGAATTAAAAATTACATCTGGTGCAACAGGCAAGATAATGTGTTTTCTTGTTATTAAGAACTTGGCTTGGCATCGGTAGAACAGTTATTTCCATCAAAACCATTCCTGATGTAATTAATCCCCATAGTGTCTATTTTAAAACATGAAAAAGATGAATTCAATCACATATCGTATGTTCTGGGTTTTTTTTGTGTTTCTAGTTTTGTTGTAATGATTGAGTGTTGTACAGTTGTTCATTATATGCATCTGAGATATTTTTCGCCATGAAAGGTATTCACATTTGGGTTTGACACGATCAAATTCTAGTGAACTGATACCTGTCCTTTGTATTTTGTTTATGTTTATTGGATTTAATATAGCACTGATTATTACTGTGTGTGTGTGCTGTACGGGAAAGCGAGATGGGGTTTAACATCCACTCAACACAAGCGAGGTCATTGCGGGACTAACATATGGTTCAATTTTATTTCAATAATACGCTTGTGCGTAGGGGGCCTTAAAAGTGGGAGGAAACCGGAGGACATGGAGAAAACCGACAAGGTTGGACAGGCAACCCTACTCCTTGCCACGTTCAAAGGGGAATCAAAATTACGCCACTCAACTCTTAGACAGGCCTTATGATTTCATGTGTACCATTAGACCAACCAACCGGTGTACATAATTTGTTTACTACAAATGATTATTATATACTATATTAATGGATTGGATCCTATTTTGAATAGATAATTTAGAATACTTAAGACATCAATTCAACATTCACCAATTAAATAACTCTTCACTTAGACCCTTATTTGGGGCTCTCAGCTGATGCTATAATGCTTACACCAAATGCTGATTTTATAATACAAATATTTTTAGTCATTATTTTGAATTTTCGATTCAATTGAAATTCAAGACTTTTTTAATGCGCTTTTAGAATTCTAGATACTGTAAATCTTTTCAAATAAATATATTTTTTGTTTCTTTTCAATCTTATACCATGATATTGCCTCAACAGGACAGTCTTCATTAACCCAGTGGGTACAGAAAAGTAGGATATTAAACTTTATTTCATTTGTTGCCTCAACAGGAAACAGACAATATTTATATTAAAATAGATAAAGTACAAGTAATTCTACGTTTATGTTAGATAAATAAAAAAAAAATTAAAAATATCTGGTTAAAAAAGAAAACCACTTTTACTTTTTCGTTTTGATATACGTCAAATTGTAAGCTAGCTGTCCGCCCTCCGTAGGCGTCTTTAGATGTTAAGAATGCAGATAAATAATTGTATATAATCTTATATAAATTGTAGTGTTTTATGTTTTATAGAAAAAATATTTCCAATGGTTTTGCAATATATGAAATTGTTGATAAAATTAATAGATACACTATGTAGAATGTGAGTAAAGAAGTTTCTAGTTCATGACATAAGTCGAACAGTATAATTCACCCTAATAGTAAAATTCCTCTCCAGACATGCAGTGTTTGGCATTTTACCAATTCCGTTAGGTGTTTCGAGTATATGGTATTCTGTTCACAGCATCTCGCAGACATTCCTGGCGTTAAGTTAAAACAAATTGATCTAGTGTGTTGAGCCATAGATTATAGGAGAATTTGAGCTTAATGTAGATATAACAGGTCTCTGTATACTAAATTCTTTCAATGGTATTTAAGAATTGAACTGATAATACACATTCTGTGAAATACAATGACAGTTTATTATTATTTAATGATCAATGTTTTGTCTAGGATTCTCCAATCTCGTATTCATCATGTCACAACATATTTTATATCTGATCATTGTTTGATAAAGACGAGAGAATCCTAGTCAAAACGTTGCTCAGTAATAAACAGTAATTAATTATATTCCATAGAATATTAATTTAATGTGCAATGTTTCATCTAGAATTCTCTAGAATGTCCCATCATATTTTATTATTGTTTGATTCAGATGAGAGATTTCTAGCTGAACGTTGCTCAGTAATAAACAGTAATTAATTGTATTCCATGGAATATTAATTTAATGTGAAATGTTTCATCTAGAATTCTCTAGAATGTCCCATCATATTTTATTATTGTTTGATTCAGATGAGAGATTTCTAGCTGAACGTTGCTCAGTAATAAACAGTAATTAATTATATTCCATAGAATATTAATTTAATGTGCAATGTTTCATCTAGAATTCTCTAGAATGTCCCATCATATTTTATTATTGTTTGATTCAGATGAGAGATTTCTAGCTGAACGTTGCTCAGTAATAAACAGTAATTAATTGTATTCCATGGAATATTAATTTAATGTGAAATGTTTCATCTAGAATTCTCTAGAATGTCCCATCATATTTTATTATTGTTTGATTCAGATGAGAGATTTCTAGCTGAACGTTGCTCAGTAATAAACAGTAATTAATTATATTCCATAGAATATTAATTTAATGTGCAATGTTTAATCTAGAATTCTCTAGAATGTCCCATCATATTTTATTATTGTTTGATTCAGATGAGAGATTTCTAGCTGAACTTTGCTCAGTAATAAACAGTAATTAATTGTATTCCATGGAATATTAATTTAATGTGCAATGTTTTGGCTAGAATTCTCTAGAATGTCCCATCATATTTGATCATTGTTTGAAAAGAACTAGAATCCTAGTCGAAAGGTTGCTTAGTATTAAACTGTATTCAATAGAGTTATATCCTGTATATTTTGTATACTTCTCTTATAATTAAATCATTAAACATACATTATTGCAAGAGCTAAATCTTCCTATTGCAGGTCTTTCTTTAGACCTTGTTATATAAACTATTAATTAGACATTTATTAACATGACAAGACCATAATCAACTCTCGATGCCATATGATGGGTCAGATTTTAAACAGATTTGAATCTGGTCTGCGGTTCAACGGCTGTGGATGTTTAACTGTAAAAATGAATAATCAAGACTTTGTTAATTATCGTAACAACAGTAGCAATGAAAATCATGTCTACAGTGTTATTGAAATGAGAAATGAGAAATTTTCAGCATATTCTCTTCACATTATCTATTTTTAAACTATTATAGCAAGAACTGTCAGCTCTTGATCTAATCTTCAATAATGCCACATTTTATCTTCTTAACAATATGGATTCATTGATATTGTGTTAAAACAAACGTCATCCACTCAATTCAATTTAAAAGATTTATGGATTAGATTACACATGATCATTTTGCTTGTGATTATCAGACAGAATTTCCATGCCATTTTTTTTTTACACCAAACTCGTATCCAGAGGGTTAGTAGGGTGGGTACGGCATGGAAATGTGGATAATAGATCTAATATAAAAATTTAGCATACAAATTAAAAGCCTGTTTAACTGAAATTATTGAAAATGCTTAGATCTATTTCTTATTTTGTTTAAATTTTGTAACTGTTTTGGGTACCCTCTTATGCCACTACCAATGAAAGACCCACCCCCTCCCCATTTCATTTGAACCGTTTACCCTAATGCCACCTCCAACAGGTGGATCTCTCTGGCAAACAGACCTGTTAAAGATTAGGCATTTTCATGTTATTGTATTGGCTTGCTGTGTTTGATGTTCTGTTTGTCCTTGAAGCAATACAAATGACACCATGTACTTGATTACAGACTTGTTGAAGTAATCACATTACGCTTGTTGTTTTTATATGTTGGTACCTGGCTGATAAAAGTCAACCTGTAATTCTACGATCATATTGGAATTAGAAACACATTTACCAAGTCATGCAAGTAGTTTTATCGCATCCATCACATGCTTTCTGGAAGCATAATATACAACAACATGTTTCATAGAAGCAATGGGAGATTTTTGTTATCAAGATGGCCAATATTTCTGAGTTTGCCAAATTTGGCCAATTGGCATGCTGCACCACAAAGAATGTAATATTCTGATGTTCTTGTAGATTGCAGGCTGTACAGAAAATGTTGATGAATGTTCAAATTTTACATTAATAAGGAATTCCTTAATTTTTCTCATAATTGAATATATAAAATTGTACAATGTTGATAGATATCCAATTATTCAGTTTATTACTATGCAACATTTTGATGAGGATATTCTCATTTTTATGTAGATGGTAGATAAATATATACAAAATAAAATAAAATACAATTTAAAACCTTTGATTGTGGGTCATTTACAAATACACAAAACTCACTTCTAGGTTTTTTTCTGGGATATCAATCAGGATCTAATATGCCTGATGTTATTAATGGGAAACTAACTGAGCCAAAACTATGGAGAATAATGGTAGATAGCTTGCTTGATAATGAGACATTTGGTTCTATTTTGATTTAACTAAGCTGTTGGTATTTAGAATCAGATTTGTTATTTTTTTATATTAGATCATTATTATCAAGAGATGCAATGTTCCACTCGTGACTTGTGCCATAAATTGATCACCTGGGGCCTGTTTCATGAAATTTTTATTAAGATAAAATCCAAATTTTAGTAATTTGATTGAATAATATTAGATTGATTTTAGTGCTTAGTCAATCAAAATTGAAGTATCTACTAAAATTTGGATTTTATCTTTAGTTAAGATTTCGAGAAACAGGGCCCTGGTGTCTAAAGTCCTAGTATTGACATGATCTGTCTGTATTTTTGATGATCAATTTATCTTATTTTCTATCTTTTCAGATTGAACAGTTAAAGAATAAGGACAAGATTATTTCGCATTTAGAGAAAGAGTTGGGACAGACCGCAGGCTATGCCTTATCACTACAGCTGGACCGAAACCACCAAAACAAGATGTCCGCAGCTACCCTCACCGCTGGCACGGACAGACAGCTTTCTTTCTCCAGTCCCCTTAAACACAACCAAACGCTCAAAACTTTCAGTCTGGATAATTCAGTAAGTTTGTTTACTTATTTTAGATTTACGAATAATCTAATTGGCACGGTAATCAAGCGACAGGACACTAGCTGGCATCTACTGTGTCTCATGTTTGAACCCTGACATGGACCATGGGGTTTAACGTCATTTCGGGACTAACATATGGTTCTATTTTATTTCAATAATTTATTTGTGAGTAGGGGTCTTTAGCAGTGGAGGAAACTGGAGAACCATGCTCACTTGTCAGGTGTGGCGGCTGCAGGGATTATGATAAAAGTGTGCTAGTCTTTTGGATGGTACAAAAAACTGTAATCCACACATTGGCGTGGACATAAAATATACCCTTGTTAGAACTTAGAAAAGAATAGGCAAAATTGCTGAAAGTCATTCCTCGCATTGCATACATGACCACATAGAAATGAAATTTACCATATGTTCCATTTCATTAAGTCTTGTTACAAGAATTAGGTCTTTATTTTACAGTATAATGAAAATCAGACTGAAGCTGGTTTGGAACTGGAGACAGAAAGTAACCAATCAGATGATTCCATCCTAGATAAACAAGCGGTAGGTACAGTCTATATATAAACGCCGTAACATTATCATATTGGACCACAGAAGAAACTGTCTATTTCAAATTCGATGTTTATTTCGTTGAGTTTTAATGCAGTGTTTTTTCACTTAAAGGCTATAAATTTAACTGTATTTATGTCTTATAAATTGACTGACAGATAAGTTTTCCAGTCAGTCAATTTCAGTGCCAGTCACTCAAGACGGGCAAATACCACTGAAACTAAAGCCCTGCGTCAGAACTAAGTAGCTGACTAAGACTTATTAAGAGACTACAATGAATGATTTCCACTATGTATTGTTGTTGTTGCAGTAGTTCTGTGTATTTATATTTATCCCTGCTATAAGACATGATAAGGTTCTATATTATAAGTGTCTATTGATTATAGCTGTGGTTAACATAAACAAAGGGAGACTAATCTCCAATTTTAACACTATCAATCAATCAGAACTATAAGTCTATTACAGAAGATCATTGTTTTCTAATGTGATATTCTTCACCATAAGTGGGGGGTTGGATGGCCGAATGGTTAGCACTTGCGCGCTGTATCATAAGTCTGTCATTGAATCAACTGGCGTGGTTTCGATTCCCTGGTTGTACGTGATAAGCATTAGGGTTGTCTGTCCAACCTTGTGGGTTTTCTCCGGGTCCTCCAGTTTCCTCCCACTGCTAAAGACCCCCCTACGCACAAGCGAATTATTGAAATAAAATTAAACCATATGTTAGTCCTGAAATGACCTAGTTTGTGTCGAGTGGACGTTCAAACCCATCTCTCTCTCTCTCTCTCTCTCTCCCTCTCTCCCTCCCTCTCTCTTTCTCTCTCTCTCTTCACCATAAGACTTTCGTTTGAAGAATTACAACAAATATTTGAAGACTGCAGTTTTCGTGTGGTTAGACACAGGACTCCTGACTAGAAGCATGAGAAGAACCTTGTGATATTGCAAGCCCGGTTCCCACTTACCATTCAAGGGTAGCTCCTGCCTGTGGAGTTGATAAGGAAAAAAAAATGTTGTCTAGTTTTTAGGATGGGACTAAAAAAAGGTCCATCCATGTTCACGGTGGAGTGCACATGAAAGATTCCTTGTTCGTCTATTACCGAACATTGTTCTTTTCTACTGTAATATATTGTTTACCATAGAAATTTGTTTTTAAGAATTACAACTACTTGAGGGCTGCGGTTGTCGATCAGCATGACACTCCACTCTTGACTAGAATATCCCAGGTTTTAATCCCGATGTAGGCCAAGCCGTGTTCCCACTTCTCAGGGCAGTGGCTGTGGAGCTAGTCATTAGGATAGAACAAAAACTAAGTCCTTCCATGTTCACACTCGAGTGCGCATGAAAGATTCCTTCATTGATAATGAATAGATGGAAATGACAAAATTCTCCTCCCTGGCATTACATCTTTGACCATATGTAAGTCTCAGAAGGATTGAAGCATTGTGTTGATGACCCATTAAACTCCTATCCTACAACTACCCAAAATCATTAATATACACAACATATTTCTACATAATCTTCTTTTTTCTCCCCATCCAAATGACACACTTGTCAGCTCTTTTGCCTGGATAAATAGCTATATTTATATTAACCCATGCCATTTTTTGAACCAAGAAAATAAAATCTTAATTTAGTCAAGTTTCTTAACCTGTGTGCCCCTAAATTTTTTTAGCAACACTGATGAAATTTGTGGCATATGGATTCAGTATATTCTGAATATCATCACCGAGGAACAAGTAGTAGTCAATCAGAAATATGATATTAATATAAAGACATTTTTCAATCAAAGATTATTTTCTCGGCTTTGTTGTATATTTTTCATGCACTGAATATGACACATGGCATTAAAACCACACCAAGATCTGAAACTCACAAATTCTCTGACCAGATCATATCATATTTTATATCTAGAATTAAAACCACATGTGGACCTAAAACCCTGGTCAATGTACTCCCACATTGTTCAAGGTTGTAGCACCATTTATAGCCATTTAACATTTATATGTTATATTAAGAATGTCGCTTAAAGAGGTGTATCGGAAGAGATATAAAAGATATCAGTGTTTGGTCGAGCTCCTTGAAGTGGTTAAAGTGCTTGTGAATTAATCTTTATTGATCATTTAGATAGTAATTAATGAAGGATGTGCTCCGTGAACAAATAACTATATACAAATCTTTTATGGTTTTATGATTTGATAAGGTGATAAAATTGAACCAATCTTTACACATTTCTAACCAGATCTTTAGATTTGTTAAGAATCACTGAAATGTATTTTCGAGCATTAAAACTGTGATAAATTTATTGGATTATAAATGGTTTTCTGGAGCAGACGCCAGAGTGATTTGATTGTTTGTGTGAAGCCTAACGAAGCCTAAAAGTGGATATAAACTAAAATGAAAATTGTAGTAAATTAAGATTCTTATCTGCATATTATTTCTGCTGAGGGATTATTGCTTGGACTGACAATCTTGTAATATTTTAGCTCAAACAGATGATCTTTAATTACTTGAATTTCCCAAGAAATATTTTGATGACATAAACAGGTGGCTTTGGATGTACACCTGTTTTTTTACCTGCAAACATTTAATTAGGTGAAACTGATCAAAGATATTTTTTTCCATTAAACTGGATTTTTTTTTTGAGCAGGTGAAGAAATTGAAAGATCTGGAAGAACGCCATAAATCATTAAAAGAAAGAAACCGGAAGTTTTTAGAGAAAAATGTTGAACTGACATCAGAGAATCGCAACTTAAAGGACCAAATCAGTTCCTTGACTGAAGAAAGTGGAAAGTTGGTAAGCAGAAATAATTTTTATACGCCCACAATACACTACATTTTATCACATAATTCTTGTAAAATTTATATATCACATGTTTACATTAGTGAGCCAATTAAATTTTAACAATTTATGTTGAGAAATTCAAGACTTATCATCCCTAATCTATTTGTAGAATCTCCTGAACACTCCACTGGCAAAATTGTATCCTGCCAGTCAAAAGTCTTTGATTTATCATTTATCCATTAAGTAGCTGGATGGAAGTAATATTTAATCAATTATATGAATGTTATAAATTATAGCACACTAAAACAGCTACTAATATATATATATATAGGCAAGGTTTCGAAGAGTATTCTCTCAACCATACCAAGCTATATAGGAGCTGTTTTCCAGAAGTATGTGTTATAGTTTATAACTCTATCCAGTTACTATATATGCCTCTAAAAGTTTAACATCAGTATTGTGACATTTTGTAATTTATTTAAATTTCAGAAGGAACAATCTGAACATTCCAAAAGAAAAGCCACAGTTTATGCTCGTCAGTTAAGTCAAGAAAAACTCAAACTTGTGAACTTTGAACTTCAACTGTCAGAATTACATAAACTACGTCAACAATTAACTGAACAAACCAAAACAATCACCTCACTAAGACAATCATGCAGCGTAAGTTTTAAATCAATTACTTTTCATTATTAGTGCCGTTTCATTTATTACTTAGTGCAGTTTTATTTCTTAATTAGTGCAGTTTCATTTAAGACTTAGTGCATTTCAGTTATTAATTGGTGGAGTTTCATTTATTAATTAGTACAATTTCAGTTATTCATTAATTAGTGCAATTTCAGTTATTCATTAGTGCAGTTTCATTCATTCATTAGTGAATTTTCATCCAATAGTGCAATTTCTTTCATTCATTAAGTGAGTACAATTTAATTTATTAATTTTATGTAGTGAGTGCAATTTCATTTATTAAACAGTGCGAGTTCATTTATTAAATAGTGCAATTTCACTTATTAAATAGTGCAATTTCATTTATTAAATAGTGGAATAATTGTAGATACAAGGGGCAAGTTGTATTCTGGTTCCTGAAATTCTCTTGGTTTCTATTATTACATAATAAATTTGATGAATTCGGTTGAAATAAATCCAAAACTAGAATAAAAGCCTATGGAAATTCCACCATTCTACAGAATTTTAGTATATCAAAATTTTAAAAAGCAATGTTATAGAATATAGTTACTATATAGAGCTTTGTAATGATATAAAAGTTAATATACCGGTATTCAGTATTTTAGCCAATGTTTTGGCCAGTATTTGTTGATTTTGATGAATGAACGTGTTTTTTTGTAGGAAAAAGATAGAAGAATGGAATTAATACAACATCATAAAAAACGGCGTAAATTACGTCGGTCACAAGAAAAATGTCGTGGGGTTAAAGAAACTTTTTACGGGTATGATGAAGATCAACGATCAATGGATTCCGAAAATTCTCTATCTTTATCATCAACTTCTCACGGGACATTGTCTGATGATGATCTCTGGGACGAGGTATGATTAGGCTACAGATGTTAAATTTGTGTTCATTTGATAGTCGATGTATTTATGCTGTAACTGTAAGAGGTGAAGCAATAACATATTGATATAGTAGATGTATTTATTCTGTAACTAGTAGGAGCCATGGTGGCTCAGTGAGTAAGACATTGGCTCGCTAACCTAGAGGTCCTGTGTTCGATCCCAGTGTTGATCGAGACAGTTCATCAGGATTTTCTGGAGTGGTTACCCCATGTCAGTGGTGCAGGATAGAGGGCCTGACAAGACAAAACCTATAGTCAAATGAGATGAAAAACCAAGTCCTGTGTACACCTTGGCGAGCACATAAAATAAAAGAACTGTTGACAGTTGGAATTGGATATAAGAGTAGGTCGTATTATCATTGTTGGGCAAATTTCCCTCATAGATCACTGTGTGTTGTATGTCGGTCTTCATTAGCCCAGCTGAGCAGAACAGTAGGATGTTAAACCCCATTTCATTTCATTTCTGTAACTAGCATCATACAGGTGAATTACTAACATATTGATATTGTAAATATTCTGTATTTTGTAGTTGTCCCGTGAGGAAAGAGAAAAAAGTTACCAGAAATTAATGAAAGAACATTTACAGTTAGAGAAATCGCATGCTCTATTGATGAAACAAACAGACAACTATCAAGATCCACAACGCAGCAATCAAGTAAATATATTTATTACATCCTTATTGTAAATAATAATCCTTGTTAAAAGTCCTTATTGTATATAACAATCCTTATTAAAACTTTATTGTAAATAATAATCCTTATTGTAAATAATATTAATAATCCTTATAATAAATTATCAAAACTCCTTGTTGTAAATAATAATCCTTATTAAAATACTAATACTAATTAAAAATCCTTAAGATCTAATATTTTAGTTACAATGGATTCAAAACCCTCAAATGATGATCAGTAGCTCTAATGATACTGTATCTCACAGATGGGGCAGTGGGAAAAAAATCTGACCAGGGCAGCTTCATTAGATTCTTACCTTGGAATGTTTCTTTATATCGCTTTAAATTTGATTTCTTTTCTACAAGTAATTTGTTAGTTGTTTTTGTAGATAGTAGTTCTCCTATAATGTAATAGTTCTCCTAAATATAGTAGTTCTCCTATAATGTAGTAGTTCTCCTATAATGCGCGATCTGAAGTTTTGACTTTCATTTGCATTATATTTCCTTTTCAGTTACGGTGTGACCTTGAACATAATTTAATCCTATCTCAAGGTCGTATAGAAGAATTGGAACAAGTTTTGAGAAGCTCAGGGAAGGTAGGTATAAGAATAATTATTCCTGAAACTTGGAAATTGCTTTGAAATCTCTGAGTTTGATGTGTCAAGGGAGAGAACTCCTCTAACATTTTGTGTACTTATAGTTAACAAATAAAATGATAAAACTTTACTTACTGCATTATCTGAGAGTTAAAGAGAGATTTACCTAAACTGGACATAAACCAATTCATTTTGGGACTAGCTTATGGTACAATTTTATTTCAATAATTTGCTTGCTCAAGGGGTCTTTATCCGTGGGAGCTCATACCCTACTCCAATTACGAAAAGGTTAATTTGGTTTATTCATGAAAAGTGTTTATTAGATATTGATTTAGATGATTAATACTTTAAAACATAAGTACATACTGCCTTGGCTTTCCATTTGGCCACACTAATTTGAATTTTCTTCAGGAACACCTTTTAAAGTTACAATTTCATATTTTCTAAGAAAGTCAAAACATAATTATTTCTATGACTTTTGCTCAATAGGTTGTCAACTCACTATTATACGATCATAGGTTATCTTTCTCACACTTAAAAATCTTCACACCGGAAATAATAACACAATTACCTCCCTTGTTTTCCTATTCCCCACCATGGAATAGCTATCTTCAATCGTTTGAATTTGAAGTTGAAAATTATATTTTTGCCAATTTCTCAACTGGCAATAGTGAATTATAGGATTAATAGGATTATTCTTTAACAAGGTAGGACTGTTTATAGATACCATCTATTTTCGGGCTTTATTTTAATACATTTTAAAAATATAACTTAAAAATCTGAAATTGTAAACTTAATACTTCTCAAAGAAAAATAACTTAAAAACCAAAATTAATTGGAGGCTCTTCTCAAGAGCTCATAATTGTAAATTTTTTAAATTCTAAAATTCTACACAAAAGAGGTTATTTAGTTATCAAGATTCTGAAGAACTAATATTTATATTTCTTTGGCCTTAGTGACAGACAATTATATTACACAATAAAGATGGTGATGTGAGAAGTTGGTGTAGCCACATCTAATGTGAAATTTAGATGGCCATAAATTGCCTCAGGATTGATCGGATTTTAATATACGCTGTTTAGCATGAAATATTGGGCTTTATATACATTATTATAGTATTACTGAAACCAGACGTAGACTATAGGTGTCTCTCTCTGTCTGTCTTGCTTTCATTTTTGATTTTGAAAACTTTTTAAAATTTAACTTTGAGATATTTGATTTCAATTTGGTACACTGCTGTAAATATAGCTAGCAGAGTTGTAGAAGAAAATTCACATTTCGTGGGATTCCGTTTATATATTGTTTTATTTGCTAGGTTGCCGTTTAGATCAAGTTTGTGTTTTGTGGGATTCTGTTAATATATTATTTTATTTGTAGGATGATATTTGTGATTTATTGAAGGAACGAGATAGACTGGTTAATATGAATGAAATGTTGGAGAATCAGGTATAACAAAGTTTTATCTTCATCTGGTCTCAGAGACACCAGGATTATCCAGTAGGAGTGGCACTGGAGGCCATCCCCAGTACATTTTCAAAAAGTCCTCGTGAAATACTTGATTTTGAATATATTCTTAATAAGGAACGCAAGCAACTAAAATAATTGCTTATGAGCATTGAGTTTAAACATGGCTAGCTTAGAATGAAAAGTATATATATTAATTTTTGAATTTATAAAATCTGTAGGATAAGGGAGGTAAGCACCCCCTCAGGCCACCCTCTGTCACCACTGTATATACAATAATCACATGCATTCCAATTTTTTTAGTGTCAAGTTGCAATTATTTTTAAGTTTTCATAAATAAACCATTCTTCTCTAATTTTCAAATAAAGTAACAATCAACTTGTATATCTTAGTTACAAGAATCAGAGAAGAATCGTGTGGAACTATCAGAAGAATTGGCAGAGAAAAGGGACCAGATGGAAGACATGGAGTTTCAGATTCTAGAATTCCAGGAATCTGTTGATGAGGTAAGAGCACATAACTCTTTACATATGCAATCATATCATCTGTTTATATTAATTTTTTGTAGAATTTTGTAGGGTTCAGAAATCTTTTCATAGTGATATTCAATCTGGTTATTCAACTGGAATTGAAATATCTCTAATTGGGACATATTAAAGGCATGTTGTCATTCATGCCTATCAGTTTAAAATCTACTGATGTCCCTTGCATCTTTCATAAAATAGATTACCCCAAATCTGTTTTTGCATTGCAGCATTAACTTTCTCTTGTCTTAGTTCTGCAACTTTCAGGATCTGTTTTTCGTCCCATCCAAACCACCAGATTCTTTCCTTCCTTTCCAAACCAAGCTAGAAAGTCTGGTTAAGATGCTGGCTTGCCAACCAGGAGCTAGGTCTCAGGTTCACTCCCTGTATGTTGGCAATGAAAGTTCCTCTGGCTTTTCCAGTGTGGTTTCCCCTTGTCAGTGTTGCAGGACTGAGTGCTTGGCAAGGACAGTGTCTAGTCATTAGGATGGGACGATAAACTGTGGTCCCATGTACATATTGGTGTGCAAGTAAAAGAATCCATGACAGTTGGAATTCAAAATAAGAGTAGGCCATAATGCTGCTGTCCAGGCATGGCTTGTGCCTGTCTTCATTAGCCCAGTCAGTGCAAAAAATTAGATGTTAAACCACATTTCATTTCATTTCATTTCATTTCATTTCATTTCATTTCATTTCATTATTATAAATGAAGGTGTTGATTATTTATGATTTGTTGAGTATCATTTACTAATACCAGGTCAATAAATATATGTATACTCTGAGTTTTTTATTATCCTGTGCCATTGTTTCTGGGGTATATCTCATAAACCGTCTGTACACACATCAACCTATTACGTAGTGCCTTTAGCTAATTAATAATTTCTAGCATTATTGATTGTTATGTTTCCATGGAATCCAAATTTACCGTGTTTTGGGTATCTGCGGGCACAAATTTATTTCCAACTTTATTCCAATAATTCCCTTGGGCTGGGATCTTTAGCAGTGGGAGGAAACCTGAGGACCAGGAGAAAACCAATGAAATTAGGCAGACGACCATACTCCTTGTCACATAAAAGTGTTGGATTGAAACCCCTCCATTTGACTCATCGACAGACCATAATAATCCAGATGATTGAAGTTCACCTAAATACCTATTTACGGATGATTAACTTTAATCGATAAAATACTTGAGGATGTTTGCTTAAGTTTTTTACGGAAATGATACAATGATTACTCCCTCAGGCGATTAACTTTGTCACCTCATTAATCTAAGTAAATAGGTAATTGTTAAGCTAGCTTCTAAGCAAATATTTCATCTTATTCTTGTTTGTTATACATAACAATATTTGATAACCAGTTTGTCATATATTTAATGTACATTATATAATTTATGACTTCATACGTTTCACTTGGCTACATTACATAGTAATTTATTAAGTGAATTTCCAGAACATGACAGTTTTGTCAAGTGATATATTTTACAAATTTTGTACAGCTATTTTTTTTTGTGGAATATGTAAACCAATTTTTAATCTTTTGCATACGTCTAAAAGGCATATCAGTACAAAAATGTTCCAATTTCATTCAGCATTTACAAAGATATGATGAATTTTGCAACATTCAGCCTCATATATGCAGATGATATAAACAAACCAGTGCCACCTGTAAAAGTTAAGTAAAATCTTTTGATGGACCTCTGTTTAGTCTGACTGAATCCAAGCTGGGAGACTATCTACCCTTGATATTTTGGTTTTGTTTTCTTAATTAAATGTTAGATAATAAGTTTGAGTAAAATTTAGCGTTGATGAAGCCACAACTTTAAAGATGGCAAGATGTGTTAATTTAATCAATATTATATGTATTAGCACTGACATATAGGACTAATTACTCAAATTGTTTATTTTTTCCCCCAATATTATAGGGTATGTCTTAATAATCTGGTATATCACATTTATAATGCACATTTTAAAGATGTAGAAACTTATATGATTGTGTTAATTGCGCCAGTATTACATTGGTTAGGACTAACTGCTGATTTTATTTTATTTATTTATTTTTTTTTGATCAGGGGGTTGGATGGCCGAATGGTTAGCACGTGCGTGCTGTATCATAGGGTCTGTCATTGAGTCAACTGGCGTGGTTTCGATTCCACGGTTGTACGTGACAAGGAGTAGGATCGCCTGTCCAACCTCGTGGGTTTTTCACCGGGTCTTCCGGTTTCCTCCCACTGCTAAAGACCCCTACTCGCAAGCAAATTATGGAAATAATATTGAACCATGTTAGTCCTGAAATGACCTAGTTTGTGTAGAATGGACATCAAACCCTCTCTCTCTCTCTCTTTCTCTCTCTCTTTTGATCAAAATAGAATATGTCTTATGGATCAAATGTTTATTGCCCTTTAATGGTAATTATGACATTGAATGAGATGTAGAAACTTACCTGTAATTGTCTCGCATCTACAGATAAAAGTATATACCTGTGATTGCCTTTTGTCTACAGCTGAAGCATATACCTGTGATTGTTTATCGTATCTTCAGGTGAAGGTATATACCTGTGAGTTTCTACAGGTGAAAGTATAAACCAATATACTATAGTATAGGTAGACATATATAAAGATATAAATTACAGTACATAAATAAGTATATTATATTGTATTTAAATGTGTTTCAAGTAGATCAAGTGTTTAGCAGTATATTAAAATGTAAATTTTATTTGACTTTAATTCGTGTCGTGTCACACTTTACTAGTTCTAGCTCTTACATAATTATTACCATTTTCTTAAAAAAATGATAACCAAGGAAAAGAGACTGGCAAGTTACATTGAAATAGTTTGTGATACTCTTATTTCCATTTAATATATTCACACAAGATTTCCGACAAATATGTGTAAGAAAGGATGACAACCAAACGCAGCGAACCAAATAAATTTATTCTTACTCTCTGAAGCTTGTTAAATACAAATATATCTTTTACAATTTTATTTAACAAAACATATGTGGATTGTAGCTTTTGAGGGTTTTTTTTTGGCACCTCAGTAATATGAAAGTTGCATATACCTCATGCTTTAAGAGGTTGTAAAGAGTTAGTATATTAAAGACAATTAAACTTCTTTGGAGTTTGATGTGGATATATTTTATGACCATATGCCATGATCTACTAGCTGAGTGGAATTATGCATAAAAAATTTCTTAAAATAGTAATTATATATCAGTCTTCCAAATAATTGGTAAAGTCCCGACCCTTTATTGAATCTTTTTTAAATTCCCACAAACCGCCCAAAAAACATACAAACTGACACTGATCTGACAGTCAAGAAGTATTATGCGAACCCTAAAGGGAGATGACCAAATTTTTATTTGCTACCAGAATCATCTGATCATGACTGTTACTTAATGAAAGTCACTGGAAACCACCAGGTTGAACTTGTTATACCTATTTTTACCTACCTGTCATAATGTCACCAATGATATAAATATGAATTAATATTTATTATTGACATCAAGTATACAATATTTCCTTTAGTAAGTTAAAGTGTCATAATTTATATACATAACACATGAATATAATATAAGTATATACCTATATGTACATTAATATCATATAAATAGATAAGATATAGTAGGATAAACTATGGTATATAAAGGTAGGGTATATAGGTATTATTATAAACAATACTCCCTACAGCTATAGACATGATATACATAATACTAAGTAATAGTTCATGGTATACACAGTCATTTAGTTCATTAAATCTTGTATTACCTATATCATGTCATATGTCAATTTATTGAATGTCTGGGTTAGAATAATTGTTTAGAAATTTAACAGAGAAATAAATGAATAATTAATGGACATGATGAACTTACTATGGCTTTGAGCCATTGAGAATTGTACATGAATGACTGAATAGGCATAAGATACACATCAAAAACACATAAAAGCATAACTAACAAATATTTGCAAAAATGTTTAAATTAATCATTTTCTTTCAAGAGACAAAAGAATAAATTACATAGAATATTATTTTGAATAATTTAATAATACTTCTTTGGTATAAATGAATAAAAAATAGCCATATGCACTTAGTAATAGTAAAAAAGAAACATATATTTGAAAATTATATTCTTTTTAAAAGGATTAATTTTCATTTTATTGTTTTTATTAAAGTCTCTGTAAGTTATTTATATTTTAAAGAATAGAGATGTCAGTGGTGGTCTGTCGTCCATATCTTGACCTGAATATAACATTTAATTTCATCCGGCAGATCACTACAACCTACATAAATGGTTACACACCCTGCATGGCAACCAAATATTAAGATAAAATGAAGCAAGGCATGTTAATTATTTATGTAACTTGTACGACTCTTCCCAAATTCCTACAAGTTAATTAATCACCATGGGTCATTATATATTTATATGGTCATCCTGCATCAAATTATTTCTTCCTTAATTAAAGGTGTACAAGGTGATATAACTGGATGTAAGTAATTGATTTATGGTGCAGGAAATAAGATAATAAAAATTTCATGGCAGGTTAATTCCCTAGTGGTGTTGGTATGATGAAATGAATATATGTTGAAAGATTTGCCTTATTATTTCTCACAGTACATTAAACAGATTTTCATACGCAACTGAACATTATATCCAACTCATCCTCATACCCAACTGATCTTTTCACTCAACTCATTGTCTTTTCTGATCACCATACCCAACTAACCCAACTCATCATCATACCCCTACTTATCCTCATCATACCTATAACTGATACTCATAGCCAATTGAATATCACACTCAAATAATTACCATCATACCCAACTGATCACCATCATACCAAACTGATCATCATCGTACCCAACTGATCATCATCATACATAACTGATCATCATCCTATAAAACTGATCATCATACCCAACTGATCATCATCATATGCAACTGATCATCATCATACCTAACTGATCATCATACCCAACTGATCACCAC